GGGGGGGGGGAAGAAGAACAGCAAACTGTTTAGAATGTTGGAGGCGAGACTCAAGCAATGCAGCCAGTGGATAGGGACAGATTCTGAGTGACACACCAGGGCGCCAACCAATTCCGGAGTGTGTGGAATGTTCTAGAGAAGTGCCACCACCATTGGGCTTTTATATATAAGGGAGATGTTATTTTACTTTGTTATTGCAATATAATAGTTAAAGGGGAAAGATGTAGAAGCAGCCCCGTAGCTAAGGAGTTTTGGGGGAGGGGGCCAGGGGGGACCCACCAGCCAATCAAAGTTAATTAAATTAACTTTGATTTAGTTGCTGGGACTCCTAAGGCAGCCCCGGCTGCAACCGAGGGAGGAGGAGAGCGCCGCCACCAACAGCAGGGACAGCCCTGGCACCGCGGACGAGCCCTCGGGTCTTGCGGGTGCGCCAGGGCGCTCTCTCTCCACCTCTCTTGGCGACTGGCCACCAGGGCAGGTTCTGGGCAGGAGGGACCCATTGTATTGTCTGCAGGGCGCCTAGGGGGCCACCCCTCTCCCCGCGGCCTGGAGCGTGACACCCTCATGGCCCGGTGACGAGCCCTGCAGAGCCACCTCATGTCTGCCGAGCCCCAGCACAGGCCGAGCCCCTGCCCTCCCAGCCTCTGTGTGTCCCCCCCCTCGCCTGCCATCTAGCCCCCTTTGTCTCCCCGGCACCACCGGCTCCGCTCCTCGTGCCCGCTCTGACCCAGTGAGGCGCCGCCAGCAGTGCTGCCGCGGGAGGAGGAGGGAGCGCGAGAGCCAGCCAAAAATTTTGGCTTGGCACTTGGGGTTCCCCCCCCATTTTTTTCAGGTAGCAGCAGCAGGTGATGTGGGGGGGGAGGGGGAGCCGAGGATTGGAGGGGAAGCCGAGGATTGGAGGGGGCCCCATAAAAACCACGGAGAGAGGGTGGGCCCCGTGGGCCCCACGGTCCTGTGTAGAAGAAGAGATTGGATTTATACCCCACCCTTCACTACCCGAAAGAGTTGCAGAACAGTTTACAATCCCTTTCCCTCCCCACAACAGACACCCTGTGAGGTAGGTGGGGCTGAGAGAGAACTCCCCTTGAGAGAACAACTCTGAGAGAACTTGTAACTGATCCAAGGTCACACCAGCAGCTGCATGTGGAGGGCTGCAGATTCAGACCTGGCTCTCCCAGATTAGAGTCCGCGCTTCTAAGTGCTACATCAAACTGGCTCTCTGGAAGAATTTACAGCTGAGAGACATTCACTGATATAATGCATTAAGGAATAGGTTACGTGTCAACCAAGAAATCAGAAGGAGATTGAGACTGGTAAGGGCAGCCAGGAAGGAGCTAGAAAATACTCTTAAGTGTAAGGGATGTGTCGGTTGCCACCAAGATCAAGTTAATTCATGACATCGTATTCCTCATTACTATATATGGGCGTGAAAGCTGGACAATGAAGAAAGCTGGCAGGAAGGTCACTGGGAAAGACAAGAATGCTAGGAAAAGTGGAAAGTAGCAGGAAAAAAGGGAGACCCAACATGAGATGGATTGACTCAATCAAGGAAGCCACAAAAGCCCTCAGTCTGCAGGACCTCAGTGAGGCTGTTAACAATATGTCATTTTGGAGGTCACTAATTCATAGAGCCGCCATAAGTCAGATGTGACTTACATTCTCCTTTCCCTTCCCCTCCCCACAGCAGACACCCTATGAAATAGGTGGGGTTGGGAGAGCTCTGGGAGAACTTGTGACTGATCTAAGGTCACCCAGCAGCTGCATGTGGAGGAGTGGGGAATCAAACCCGGTTCTCCCAGCTTAGAGTCCGCGCACTTAACTGCTACACCAAACACACACACAACACGGCAACTGAGGAGGAAGGTGGCATGGTATAGTCTGATCTGTCAGATCTTGGAAGGTAAACAGGTTTGGTACTTGGACCGCCGAAGGAGACTCTGTAGAGGAAGTAGGGTTGCCAGGTCTCACCTTTCGTCCAGCGGGGGGGCTCCTGGTCCTCACTGGGATTCTTCTGCGCCGTGATGATGTCACTGGTAGTGACATCATCATGCTACGGCTGTTGTGTAGTGACACTCTAGTGTTCTGGACCAAAACTCTATGGTAACAAGATCATGGCATCCGGCCCCATCACTCCTTGGCAAAAAGAAGGGGAAGTCGTGGAAGTAGTGACAGACTTCACGTTCCTGGGATCCCAGATCACCGCAGACTGTGACAGCAGCCATGAAATTAAAAGATGCCTGCTCCTTGGGAGGAAAGCGATGGCGAACCTAAACAGCATGATAAAAAGTAGAGACATCACCCTGCCAACAAAAGTCCGCATGGTCAAAGCAATGGTATTCCCAGTAGTCATGTATGGCTGCGAGAGTTGGACTATAAGGAAGCCCGAGCGCCGAAGAATAGGTTCTTTTGAACTATGGTGCTGGAGAAGACTCTTGAGAGTCCCTTGGACTGCAAGAAGATCAAATCAGTCAATCCTAAAAGAAATCAACCCTGACTGTTCCCTGGAAGGCCAGATAATGAAACTGAAGCTCAAATACTTTGGCCACCCAATGAGAAGGGAGCACTCACTGGAGAAGACCCTGATGCTGGGAAAGATTGAAGGTCAAAGAAGACGGGGACGGCAAAGGATGAGATGGTTAGACAGTGTCATAGATGCAACGAACATGAAACTGAGCCAACTTCAGAGGACGGCGGAAGACCGGAAGGCCTGGCGTGATCTGGTCCATGGGGTCGCGAAGAGTCGGACTGTGCGACTGAACAACAACAAAACCAGAGTCTCCTCCTCCGGAATGCTAGAGCGTCGCCACATGACGGCCCCAGTGTGATGATGTCACTACCGGTGATGTCATTGCACCTGCAAAGTCCCTGTGGGACACTGCTGCTCAGGGGTGGGGCTTCCCTAAGGACCCCCTGGCCTCACTGGGGGTGGGGGTGGCAACCCTAAGAGGAAGGCCATGGCAAACGACCTCTGCTTCTTGCTTGCCTGGAAAGCCCCTTTCTGGGGTTCCATAAATCAACTGTGCCTCGATGGCATTTAACTTATGAAATGTGTTGACTTGGCCCACGATTGTATGACCTTAGCTCGAGTCTCGAACAAGGTCTACCATGCGACCCTAAGCAGACTTATACCGCACCCACTGATTTCAAGTGACTTGTATGCAGTGTTCCCTCTAAGCTGAGTTAGTGTGAGCTAGGTCACAGTTTTTTAGCCTCCGGCTCACACATTTTTGTCTGAGCTCAGGAAGGAGGGCTCCAGAGAAAACCAATTTATGTAGGAGCCAAATGGCTCGCTCACAAATTTAATGTCAGTAGCTCACAAAGTGGAATTTTTGCTCGCAAGACTCCGCAGCTTAGAGCGAACATTGCTTGTATGCTCTGCCTAGGACAGTACTGTCAGAGAGACGCTTCTGACTGAGCCATGACCACATTCCTGGTGGATCCAGACGCAACGGCATTGCATTGCAAGCGGAAGGGAGTGTCAAAAGCAGCACGTGACATGATGTATGTGTGTGTGTGGGGGAGACAGGGATGGTGGCGGGTAAAAAAGGAAATACAGACATACACCCCCTGTCTGAGACCGAGCAGATATTTGAATTCTGGACAGAATAGGTAAGGCATCCAATAAATCACCTTTGCCTTTGATTTAACTTTTATTAAAAGAGGTCCTAAGGTACTGCATTGTATCCAGTACATGATATTTATTACCAAAATTATTAACAAATATACAAAACTTATATATGGAATATTTCTTACATCCACTTATTCCTCTATAATACTGCATTTTGTTCAAGTAGGTTACCTACAGTGTGTAAACTTCCCTCTGTTGGAACTCACGTAGTTTGGGAAAGCCCCTCTTACCCATATAGGTATCAAACCGTTTTCATTTTATTTGGCTTTCACTAGTAGCATCTAATTTGTTTTTTTTCCCTTTCTTTCACATTTGGCACATGGAAGAAATATCTACAGTGCAAAAAAAAAGAGGCGTTCTTTTTTTCTCGTCGTTCTGAGCCGGTCATTCTGAACCAGTGCCACAGTTCTGTTTTTTTTTTTTTAGTTGAGGAGAGACTCAACGTACATTAATTTGATATTAGTTATTAATGCAGGTGAGCATCGATTGGATGCTGTTCATATGGGGCGCCGTTCAACTGCTTTCCCTCGACCCTCTCCACCCACTCGGACCCTCCTGTGGAAGACGGCAAAAGTCAGGCCCCTTTAAAAGAGCTAGAGGACTCTTGCTGGCGACAGGGACCCCTCCCCCAATTCTCACGGTCTTCTTCCCTTCTGTGGTGTGTCTTCTAGAATTTGCTAGCAAGCAATGACTTTGTGAACCAAGACAGGGAGGGCTGGATTCACCGGGACGGCTTTCTGTAGACAATTCCCTTGTGAACTGAAAACTGCACATCTTCACACCCAAATGTAAAGGACTTAATAAGCTGTCATTAAAATAAAAAAAAGAGGATCTAAAGAGGATAATGTCGTTCTAGTCCAGGAGTGAAGCGTTCAAGTTTAGCCATTTTTTAAAAAAAGCCCAGGAAAGCCCCCCTCCCCTTTTCTTTCTTGTTTATCACTGTTTACAAATGTAACTTTTAACATAACTGAGTAAAGCTGATCCAGAGAGAGAGAGCTTGGACGTGTTTCCACTCTTCTTCTGCATTCACCCTCAAGCACCATATTGCTATTTGTAGTCAGAGGCCGCCTCGCCCAGGTCCTTGTATCTGAGGAGTACAAATTCAGACGGCTGGGTTGAGTACGGAGTACTCTGCCCTTAAATCTTCGTTACCACAGGCCCCCACCATTCCCTTCTGTGGCGCCGTACATTTCCGCCAGCTTCTTGAAGCGAGGCCCCCAGTCCGTCAGATAGTCATAGTTTTGCTCTGAGTCTGTAGTCACTGACTGCAAAGAGCTGAGCGACTCCGCCACGGAGCCATTGCCCTCAAACATGTATGTCTGGAGAGAGTCAAAGGGGGGAGCCCAGAGGTCCATGTCAGCTTCGTAGAGCTTGGCCAATACGTAGCTGTGAACGCTGCTGTCCATTGTGCAGACCTGAGGGACGTATCTGGAGAGGCTTTCTATTTCGGGCATCATGTCCTGCCTGCTCTTCATTACCACATGAGCCTCTCTAGGGTTCCAAAGGGCAGCGATGTCAAAGGCTTCTGTGTCTTCCTCCCCGCCCCCCTCGTCATCGTATCGTACAATGTTCTCATGGATGTTCTCGTCTTCGTCGATTATGTAAGGCTGCTTCCTGTGTCTTCTCATTGATAAGATCAGCAGCACCAGCACTATAAGGAAGAAGCAAAGAAATGACATTTTTCTTGGTTTGGCATTCCATCACTACCTAGGGTGGCCAGGTCCGATTGTCCGAGTGACAGGGTGGTGGTGGGAGGGAGCCGTCTGGAAGCGTTGGGGGTGGGGAATGATGACATCACAAGGAAGTGATATGGTCATGCTGGGGATGTTGCATAATGGGCCTCTTCGGGGGTGGGGGTGGGGGCTTCCCTTGCCAGCCAGCAGAGGATTGGAGCCCCAAAGATCGAGAGATGCCCTGGCCTGACTGGGGGTCTGGCAACCCTAGCACTGCCTCTCACTGCCCCCCCTCCCTATTTGTGCATATCTGTGTATTTATGCAGGGCTATTTTTATGCAGACAGGAATGCACAGGAACGGAATTCCGGCTGGGTTCAGAGTTGGCCATGCCCACTACAGCCAAAACCTCTGCGTGCCTGGCTACAGAGGGAAGGCCTGGAGAGCGACCCCCCCTGCGACTCTGAGGCGGGTGGGCCAGTGAGCGTGTCGGTTCCTAGGAAGAAATAGCTCAGAGGGCATTCAATTGCCTTCAGAAGGCATTTGAATGCCTTTTGAGTTCCCTCCCACAGGGCAAGAAAGCTTAGAAGGGCACTCAAGAGTGGCATCTTCAATACATCTCCAACAATCCCCCCTTCTGCTAGCCGAGTCCTGCTGTATAGCACCTAGGCGATGGTGAGTCTTTCAAAAGCATTCCCATGAGCCTTTGGGTGTCCCTCCTCAAAAGTAAGGTTTCTGGCATGGCTATTTGTGGGGAAGGGCTTTTAATTAAGGGGCGGGGCCAGTTTGGCGTCGTGGTTAAGTGTGCGGGCTCTAATCTGTGATAACCGGGTTTGATTCCCCACTTCTCCACTTGCACCTGGCTGGATGACGTTGGGCAAGCCATAGTTCTGGCCAGGGCTTTTTTTGTAGAAAAAGCCCAGCAGGAACTCATTAGCATAATAGGCCACACCCAACAACAGAAACTCATTAGCATATCCAGCCACACCCCAGACAGCATAGCTCATTAGCATATTAGGCCACACCCCCACGTTACCAGAAGTATGGTCATCCAGCCACACCCACCTTTTGCTTCTTATTCTGTTTACCTTGTTTGTTGCCTAGGGCTTTTTTGTAGCAGGAACTCCTTTGCATGTTAGGCCACACACCCCTAATGTAGCCAATCCTAATGAGTTTCTGCTGTTGGGTGTGGCCTATTATGCTAACGAGTTCCTGCTGGGCGTGGCCAACTTGGGAGCCAGCCGGAACTCCGTTCCTG